AATGGCATTCGTAACACTAAATTCCGATCATACCTAACTCACCAAAAACAAATGTACTGTGCCCATAGGCCCAGCACAAAAATACTAGATTGCCGATGCAATATACTTGGTCCATAACTTACGGTACGGACCTTGCACTCGGTTAATTAGAGCTATGTATGATCAATTGCTCATTATAAATGAGCAATAACCGGGTTAATAACTATATATTGACCTTGCATTTATAATGAGGGTTATAACAAAAATAAAGACTTGTGAATAACAAGCATTGGTAAATGATGCAACATACTTACCTTGGTTAGTAACGTAAACGTTGACTCTCATTGTCTTGTGATTATGATATTCCACTGGTACGAATCGAATGTACCTTGCCAGTTGAGGGTTTGTAAGATCATGACGTACTACACTGTTAGAGTCGGTGTTTCCTTTGAAGAACTGAAAAGTAAAACCATCAATAAAAAGATTGTGAAATTGGGATGAAGAGAAACGATCGAGGAAACAGTTTTGCTTTGTTTTTAATGCAGTAATTTATAAATGGCCAACACCTCCGCCAAGAATCCTTTGTTAAGAATAATATTTTGACGAAGATCGAAAACAACTATTATTTTATCGTATTTAATTTTAAAACCCATGCCAAACATTTACAAACTTCTTTAGTTTTCTTCATTGTTTTTGAAATTACCTTTASATTTCCAAATTCATCTTTATAAGTATGCCATAGTGTTATGTTATTTGTTGCTAAATACAGCTTGTATTTTGTCACACATTCTCTATTCGCAGTGCGACCACTTCCTTGTGTTGCTACAGCAGTAACAACACGTGGAGTACCGAGATCAATCTGCAGGTAATCATCAGGATTATCATTATCACTTGATGCCCATCCATATCTGCCATATAGTATGGCATTATGAGGTTTGTATCGAACATCTTCTGAGATGCCTGGTTTTTTATAATATGATGAGGCTGTGTAACTGCTGTCTGATAGATTCAGATTTATCTCCTTTCCAACAAGAGATTGCTCTGGACATCCTAGTGCAACAAACATAAAACATTTATAAGAAAACAGCGTAGCGTACTGATCGTAGCCTAGTTGATGATGAGGCTGTGTAACCTCTGTCTGGTAGTTTAAAATAGCTATATGTTGATTCCCAAACAGCTTTGGCTACTTCATTATAAAATTTGTTTTTCGTATTTTTACTTTCTTTCTATTTACTCAGGATCGGCGTAGCCAGGATTTTACCTTTGAGGGAGGCGATAAAAGGGAGGGGGGGGG